CAGGTTTTTATGGTGAAACATATCGCAGCTTCGAGAGCACAGAGACTTGAAACTCCTAGTTCTGCAAAGCTCATTTTCTGCACATCTACTACCATCCTAGAAGTAACATCAGTACAAAAACTGGTATTCTTAACTATAAAGAGTTATCTTACTGCAGTTTCTACAGTCATTGCGGCTGGATTACAATTTTCAGCCTGAAAAGATGCTGTGGATGGTGTCATGATTTGAGCACCATCCTGCCCTCTAAACTCTGAAGGCACTTGGTAAGTTCCTGTCTGTAACAAGTACCAAATAGACTCCATCAATTACCGCAGCCAATCACCTGCACTTAAAGAGTGCGCAAGTGAACTGGACATTACTGCAATTATCCCTGAAGAAATGCTGTCGTGCTCTGAGATACTACAAAGAGAGATTAGATGATGAGCTTTTCAGGCAGACATTTTTCTGCTCGTCTTCTGTAAGCAAAATCTGCAACTGAGCTCTTGCCAAAACTAAAATTTTACACTTAACAGAAGAGACAGTGGATGTTGTTGGCTAAATTCACCTCGCTGTTATTTAAGATCCTCATTCAGCAAAGCATGCTTATGAGTAATTTAATGCATTTAAGCACATGTCTAAGTGTTTTGCTGTATCAAGGCCTGAAAGAGGTTTCAGTAGCATTACAGCTGAGAGGTGATTTGAATCTTCATTTAAAAAATATCCTAACAGGCTTCAGTTTTTTCTCTGAGAGATTATACATTAAGATCCATATTGAACCATTTGATCCCAGAGAAATCAGAGCGCTTTGGCTTTTACATTACCTGAAGTGAATTATCTGACCTATGAAAAACAGCCTGTCTCAGGACCACGGCTTGTTACACAAAGTACTGAGTTTTACACAAAGTAACAACCAACAATTAGCTGAAAGAGCAGAGTGCTGAGATGCTGAATATTCTCAGTTCCCAATGGCTTGGTGAGCAAGGCTCAAATATTCAAAGCCCATTGAAGTCACTGAAGAGTCAGAAATGCATCACTATATTTTAATACAAAATATCTCGGTCTGATAGGTCATTTTCTTTTCCCTTCCATCCTTCTCATCTCAACTTACTGATGAGATTTCTTATTCTGAGGAGATCTGGTACAATTCTGAACTAACACAGCACCAAGGTTTACCCAAAAGCTCCTAGAAACTAGGAAGACAATGAATAGAGTCTTACCAAGACGTCCAGTGGGGACAGAAGTCATCATTTCTTTCCCATTTACTCTATCTCTGAAATATTTCCTCATCTTTCTGTGGTTATGTTTTCAAAGAACTCAGTACTACGGCTGTGAAACAGCTCCAAGAATCTGCCTGCTAAGTCCTCACACCTCCATGCTAGCAAGGCTGGAGTCCTCACAGAGGCTCTTATTATCTGTGTATTTTAGATTTTCCTTTTAATTACAAGCAACACGAACCTCTCTAGTAATCTTGTGAGATATTTTGACATGTGTCAAAAAGGATACCACCGGGGAAAGTGCTGATATGCTCACTGGAAGGCTCAAGGTGGCATTTTACCATACAGTGCCCATTTCAACCACAGCACCCCAATAAGATTGTACTTAGCATTTAAACCTAAGTTAAGCTTAAGTGCCTAAGAAAAGATTATTGCTTGAGGGGGATTTCCTCCCAAGGGTCTCTTCCCATTTTTCTGCATAGCTGCACTTTGCTGAGTTGAAAATACTGAGTACCAAGTGCTGAAATGCAGCCCTTGGAGGCCCTATTATTCATTATTCCATTTCAGTCTGAGTGGTCTCTAAACCACAGTATTTCCCAAGGGTTTGATTTTATATATATTTTTAATTGTAGCTAGTTAAATATTGGGGCCTTATCTAAATCAAATGTCTCCAGGTACAGAATTTTTCTTTTTTAATTAATGCCTTTTACATTCTAAATCTGTTATATTGGAAGACAGACTGGTATCCATCCACTGGAGCAGAATGTAGATCACTCTTGCTATGGGGCGGGGGGAGGAAAAAAGAAGGATAAGCTTTTCCTCTTACTTTAGTTCAGATTTCTAGGTAGATGCAACCAGTGCGTAAGAACTGCTTTAAGCCAAGGCACCAAAGCATTTCTCTACTCTCTTGTCAAAGATCCCCAGTGTAACATCCAGAAGGAGTACTGGTTCATATGACGTGACCTCTTGCCTAACCTTAACAAGTTCACCCAGTTACCTGCAGATTGAGCCCAAAAGCTTGGCTCAACTTAAGACACCTTCTAGACACATATTTGGTCTTAATTTTAAAACAACGAGGAAGGAAGGATCAGCCACTTTTCTTGCTACTTTGTTCCAGCAGTTATTCACCCTCATTGTACACAAATTGTCTTTGATTTCCCATCTGAATTGTGCAGTTGCAGCCTCTAGAAGAGGTCTCTTGTGAGAGACCACTTTCTAATGCTGTTTCCTAGTAAAAGTATTTGAGCTCCAATCAAGCCCCCCCATTCTTTCTGACACCCAAACCATGCTGGCCTCATGGTAAGTTTTTCTTCAGCCTTTAATCACCTGCATAACTCATATTGGACCCTCTCCAGTTTTTCCTCATTATTTTTAACAGTAAGCACCAAAACTAGAGTGCAATATTCTGGCATGGGTCTCAATGTCACTTTTAAGACAAAATTAACTCCCTATTCATAAACTGAAGTACCGTGAGAAATTTGTGTTCAGTTGCTTGAACAAGATGTCGTGCAAACCCTTTTCAACAGCGCGCTCCAGGATGCAATCACCATAGATATGACTGGCATGCCTTGTTCCCAAGATCTGGATCCACTGGTCTTTCTCCTCAGGCATTAGCCTGAATCATTCTTGTTTTCAGAAACAATTCCAAGGACTACACTGTCCCAAGCAAAGTGTGAAGCTGAAGAGTTAATATATCATCCCCTCACTGGCTGTGTTCAGTTTGTTACTAGTTAGGATCTGAGTTCAGAGGAATAGCTCTGCTTTTATGTTCAGTTGCATGCAGTAGTGAGCTAAGTTTTGATCAAGTTAGTTCATCTGCACCTAGAGCTGTTACTGCTATATTAACAGCCTATCCACTTTTTCAGTGCCTAACATAAGAAAGATTGCAGACATTCTGGGCTGCAGACAACTGGCTCCCTTTTCATGGGATTGTATCAGAGGTTGCAGACAGAAGGAAATCCAAGGTCTTCTTGCTTGCAAAACCTCCTGACAGATGATAGCTAGGCTCTCCAGCCTGAGAACAACTCTAAAGAAGCTCAGAAGACATGGAGCATTGTTTCCTAGTGTGTGTATTTGTGACTCACAGAAAGTTGCGTGAATCATGAAACTCCACCGACATCGTGGCGTGGGGTAAAAATATGTTTTGAAAGAACACGCCTGAAGTCACCTTCTGCTAGATGTACACTGGCCACACACGTCACCAGGACGGTCAGAAAAGCTTGTTGTGCTTTTGAATAAGTAAGTTGGAATTGTATTTTGCTGTTAAAATACATTCCTCGGCCTTTATACATTCTTCTGAGGAACAGAGTGACCTCTGTAGAGACCCCTGCAGTAACAAACATGCATCCTGACTACTTAAAATAAAACAAACAAACAAACAAACGCACTCTACAGAGGAAGCTGGAATTCACTCATGCAATTAGGTTAGGTTAATGTTGACGATGAGTGGATAGATATTATCCGATATCATATTCTGTAATCCTCCGCTAAGCAGGATGCTGGAGCATTTCATTCACTCTGGCAGCCAACAAAATAGCTGCTCATTCACTGTCAGACTTGAGCAGAGTCATGAGACTGATCCCGCAAGATTTGAGATAGGCTTATTCCAGAACCCGATAATGGTCCAGAGTGATTTATAAAGGTCGCTAAATTCTATATTCAGGTTGTAGGTTTCTTTAACCAAATATTTATCTATGTGTACAAACCTCAGGAGAAAAAAAATACACTTCTTTCACAAGTGAATTTTACAATGGTCTTTTCATTAGAAAGTTACTTGGTTCTATGCCAATAATCCTTTACTCTTTTTCTAATCCTTAATTAATCCCTTTTATAAACAATCCACACTCAGCATACTCTGCTAAGAGTAAATTTTTTGCTGTGGATATATATCAAAACAAGATTTTCGACATCCAGGCCAATATTTTCCTATATTAGGAACCTAAATCCACACGTGTATCAATAAAAATTACCTGACTCCTGAAAACAAGCTCTGACAGTTGCCTTGAACTTGGTGGCAATTTGTGAGCCCTCAGCACCTACAGACAAGACGCTTAGGAGTTTTCCAACTTCAGTTCACAATGTCTGACTTAAGGTAAATACTCCTGAAAGTGCTGCCCTCAGTTTTCCAAGTCCTGTGTTTTCCCTGGCAAAGCCATTACTTCCCCCAAATCACATACAGAATACATCACTTCTGTACACATTCAGATCTAAATAGAAATTTTAAAAGGTCCTGAAAGCAGCAAGGAGGAGCCAGTGATTTACCTACACCGTTTCCCTCTACAAAAATAAAACACTGTAATACTTTAAGGTGTTTTGACTTGCAGTTTCTACTTGTTCTTATCACATTCAAACATAAATGAACAATTTTGGAGCACTATATATATACAGAAATGACAAATACACATGCTGGACTGGACGTGCATTTGTACATAGAAAGCAAAGGAAAGTATGCTTCTGAATGCACAAATTTTATCGTTTTGCTGTAAAAATGATTAAATGTACACTACAGTTCCATAAACACAACTGATTTAAAGTATGCAGTGCTTATAAAGGCCAAGTTGAAGCCATTTTGAAAATGCAGCCCGTAAAACAACCAAACACTACTTTTCTGGGCTGCTGCTTAAGAAAACACCATTGAACGCTTACAGATGGCAAATAAAAAACAACTTTTGAGGCTGGAGCCTTGTGTGGGAATTTTGCGTCAGGAAGCTACTAGCAAGATGAGGTCTCACTTTGCACACTAGATGCTAAAGGAATATATATTACAGAAGGAAGCCACTTAATAAGGCTATGGTAGATCTGACTTACCACAAGAGCAGCACGTGAAGCAGTTGGTATGATAGAGGTTACCCATTGCTTGGCAAGCCTGGCTCGCTCCATACACACCTTTTCCACATTTTATACAAATACCTAGGAAGAAGAGAGAGACTGAACGTTAAAATCCTCTGCAGCTCCTGGCCACTGAGTCTTAAGCACCCCCGTGAGGCCCTAAATCAATGAGCTAGTAGTCACCTGGAACAGATTCAAGTACCAGAGTTGGCAGTAGGCAGCTTGAGTGAAACAAACACATGGAAATTAACCCAAATGGGAGGCAGGTGAAATGTGAGGAACCGGGAAAGCTGGATGTTCTCTGGAAGTAACTCAGTTTGCCCAAGAAATAATTTATTGAGACCATCACAACTAAGTGTTCCACCACAGTACATTCAATAATGACCAATAAAACAGCTATTAGATCAAAAAAGAAAGGATGTCTTCTCTTTGCCACTCTCCAGTAATGCAAGCAATACATCAACGGCACTGGCCCATGGCAGAAACCATGCAGCACAGCAAAAACGGGTCTGTCAGTCATATTTAATCACTATTTAACTTTCCAAAAATAATAACATGTAACCTCATAAACATAATCTGGTAACTTTAGAAAACAGAAAAGCAAGGCTTCTACCTTCCTTACGGTTTAAAAATTCCCAATGGCAGTTTTGCCTCGGGGGTCAGGAATTCACCCTCACTGTCACACTGAGCAGAGTCACAGGAAAGGTCATGATTTCAGTATGCGCTACAAAGAGGTTTTGGTGTTCTGTTTTGTTTTTAGCTTTTTCCATATAATCATAGCTTTAAAAATATTTTTGTCTACGCATTTATTTCTGTTTGCGCATAACCCCTCCAAATGCAAACCCTGGCAGATAGATAATTCAAGAACCACTCTGCTTCTGTATCCCTGTGAACAGAAAATGAAATGCTGCAGAATCTCTTCATATACTCAGAACCATTTTTTTTACATTCTTCTGAGACATCCATTGGTCTCTACCTGACTGCACTTGTACAGTATACCTCAAGATAAGGCTGGGTGATTCTGAAAATACTACAGAAGACAGCAAAAACGGGATTTTTGCCTCACTCAACAGCGCAATGACGTTACCTATGTGCTGTTTGAATCCTATTTCTACAAATGTATGCACAAGCTTAGCATTGATTATCAGTATCAAAAAAACTCCTAACATACCTAGAAGGTAGGAACTCAAGAATGACAAAATTAGGCTTTAATCATTCAGTCTTCCCCTGTTGCACCGTGAAAGTTTGATACACACTTACAACAAATGCACAGAAAATACAAATACAAACTGCTTGGGGAAATTAGCATATTGTGAACTGGCAGAAACTTTAGTAGCAGAAAAACCAAAAGCTAAGCTAACAAAGTATTTGGTGTCTCATTTCGCTTTTGTTTGATTTTACACATTCCTAGTATGTGAATTATCCTAAACTGCCACGCCATAGAGAATGAAATGCCATTTCCTTCTGACAGGCAACTGCAAGGACATTGGTAAAGCTGGCAAAAGAACAATATCCAGCAATACTGCTGAGATTGAGCTTGGACTTTCAGTGAGAAAACAGCTGTAGACAACATGACACCCACGAATATCTCTGCCTCCCAGGCTATTCAAGACAGTTTAAAATCCATTTCTGAAACCAACATGTTTCAGCATTCATACAGTCATCTGTATGAGCTGTGTAGTTCGATCATTTTAAATATGATACTGTCAAGCTAAAAAAAATTATTTGGGGCTGGGGGGTATAAGGGAGAGAGACCTTCCTGTGTTACTAATCAAATACTGAAATGGAAAGACCTTTCACAAATCATGGGTTTCTTGGCATTTATACCTTTTATGGACTCCCTCATTTCAGATTACAAAGAGATCAGGCTTTTATTCACCTGTCTCAATACACCAGTACAATGCTGCAATTTTGAACCATGAGCACATTTGTCAATTAAGGGTATCCATAGTTAAAAAAAACTATCATTCTATTAACACTAGATTAAAAAAAAAAAAAAACTTTTCTAGAATCTTATTTCATATTTCAGCGAAGCAGGAACTCTCACTTTAATGTCATCAAATATCAACGTCCCAAATTAAACCTGTATTACCAAACTAGACGCCAGATAGATCCATCAGTTCACCCTAAACAAAATATTAAGGTTGGTCATTAGATAAGCTCTCATATAGGAAACTGAAATTTCAGAATATTTGTTGCCTTATTCAAGGCTCCTGAACTGTTTTATTTATGTATTTGTAACCAAAGGTTATTAAAAAGGGCTGCTATTTGCTATGATTTAATGGTTAATTGCTGATGAAAGATAGTTATTGATTACTGTGGACATTCTGATCTGAAAACGCAGCCGGCTCAGCCAGCTAGTGCAGTAGCAGCTCCCAGCAATGGGAGCAGAGTCGCTGTCAGAGCAGCAAGAACAACCCATACACCTTCTTTCTGCCGCATCGCATACTGCGAGCTCTAAAGTAACTGTGGTCCCTTGCGGCCTTGTGAGCAGGAAGGGTTGCACATACAGCAGGAGAACATGTTTAGAATGAGCAATCTGTTACTTAGCCTAAAATCTTGGTATTTCAATTTACTTTTGGTAGTGGAGCCAGAAGAGGACCCTTTTAGAGCTCCCCAGCTATCTGCACCCTTTTTGCCCATCTTTTCATGCCATTTGTGCACCCAGGACAGATGGCTATTGATAGTCTGACTGTGAGGTTACACTGAGGGAGTTACCTTTTCCCACTTCTGCTTCATTTTGCTCAAAGGACAGCAGAAATCCACAGCCTAGGATTTTCTGACATTTTTCTCTACGAGTCTCATGAACAAATCTACCATAGCCATGAACCACTTTGATAGAAGTTAGTGCCTGATTTCTTTGCCCATTGCTTCACTAGACCATCAGAAGCAAAAGAAGGATTTACTCTGGATGTTAAAATTAAACTGGCCTCTCCAGCAAGTGACTCTTATGAGCAGCTGTCAGTTTGTTAACTTGTTTTCTCTAAAAGGCTGGTCATTAGCTCCAGGAATGAATGACCACAGAGATGATTAGCATTCTAAAAAGGCATATATATAATTTCAAAAGTGTATTTTGGAAAACATATATGCAGCTGTGGTATGAGTATAGCGTGAGCTCATAACTGCCTAGAAAAAGCACTGACTACATGGCTGTTCAGGTCTGGTTTTCCACCAGTCAGAACCCAGACTGCACACTGTGAGCTTGTGAAAGCCTTGGCATAACAGCTACATTGCCTTTTTTTTTTCCTTCAGATTTAATTCAATTTTGTTAAATCGCCTATGAAGAATGTTCTGTTACAGAGCAAGCATGTCTCATTTCTGACACCTCACTTCAAGAGACTTTTTCAGTCTTTATACAATACTTTGCCTCTCCCAACACCTCTGTTCAAGATCCTAGGGCAGAATCTGCTGCAGGTGCAGCAGTTTCTTGATAGCTCTGGGTGTAACAGGAAGAGGTCCATTAGATTCTAGCCTCACCTTAGATCCACTCCTTCGCTTCTACTCTAATTTACTAAAGTAATTCTCTTTTCTCACAGCCTTATTAAGAACCAAGCAGGTGCAAAGGCCCACAGACTGGGTACTGCCTTGATTCTGTGGCCCTCCCTCAGGAGACAAGTATCATGAAGTATCTAGCTCCAGCCCTTGGGCTACTTTGTACTGGCAGAGCGGTGCAAAGCACCCTCAGCAGCACTGATGACTGGGGTCACTGGTCTCTAAAGAGAAACCGTAAGCAGCCAACATGCATACCTCCAGTTCTTTAGCACATCAACTACTGCACTTCCACCTAGGTCATGAGGTTTCCTAAACATGTGGTATCTCTTTTTAGCAAGAAAAGATGTTGCATACACCCAAAGTTTGCATAAAGGTTGGTTCATCAGAAGCACAGTACAGCAATGTGGTAAAGTGATGTTTGTGACCTTACACAACATTTAACTGAACATGAAAGCAGAGACTAAACACACACGTGCTCTGTGGACCTCAGCAAAAGGCAATCAACAAAAATAACGCTAGAAAAAGAAGGAACTCGCTAGGACTGCCTATTGGAGTTAGCTGCCGAACTTTGCTAGCACTCCCCAAACCTTAACGAGTCCAGCCTATTGAGCTTAAGAGCTTCAGTTAGAAGGGTATCTCTGCATACAAACAGGGCAAGCAAGCCTTCCAACACCGTACGACAACATGACAACGCTCTCTGGGTAACACATGCGTTAGCAAGATGCTGATTTAAGCACCAGGAAAAACAGGGCCAAATTACTATCAGCCCAGACAATATTTTCTGATGTATTCAATAATTTTGATCCAGACTTAAGAGACAAAAGGACCTAGAGAAGACATTAAAGTTGTGCATTTTTTGCTCAGCCTGCCAAAACGTACCCTGTAAGAGTTCCCTATAGTAGCCTATGTGTTGGAGGAAGTTCACATTGGGACCTCAACATCCAATTATGGAATGATCTTTACCTTGGCAAGCCTTCACAATACTCTTCCGACCATGCAGGTACAGGTTGCAGACTGGTACTTTGTATTGACTCCTCCAGGTACCCCAGAATTAGTGCAAAGGTAATAGGCACAGGTTAAATGGTGTATGCACTAGCACAGTACTAGCATCCTGCTTTTAGCAATGCATTTCAAGAGCTGGCAGAGGTTATGAATAGCCTTTTGGTCAAATGTTGTCCTCAGATACTGTGGAACTCAGTCGAGTCTAATGACACCCTCACTTAACCTAAGTCAACCGCTTAGCACAAATACAAGGGAAACGGCAACATAATGGCCTCTTAACTTCAGCAAGAAGCAGCTGTATGAACCAGAAGGCAAATCTGGCTACCTCAATCTTTAATTTGACAGCATGCCACAGATGAGGGATGAGCTGCAGCTTTACTGTCTTACTGCCACACCGTATCTCCCTAGGGTCACTGCTACATGCTGCCTACAGTAGGAAACAACCATGCCCTGTTGCCATGAGTTATGGTAAACACTCAAATTAACAACTAACACATGGCACAGATGAATCTCTGCCTCTGTTCTGTTCGTGTTGCAGCGCTGAGAAAAGGTTGGGTGTACTTCACTGGCTACTACAAAATCCTCTT